ACATCGCCGCCTTCCTGAACCCCCTTCCTTCTCCAGTCACGGCCGTTGAGAACGCGCGACTGGCGCTGCAGCTGCTGCGGTCGTCGAGCGACACGATAGATTTGATTCTGGCGGAGGTGGAGCTGCCGAACGGCAAGGGGTACAAGATGCTCAAGATCATCATGCGCGAGGAGCGCCTCAAAAACATTCCCATCGTCAGTACGTGCTCCGCTACCCACGCTCACGGATAGTCTCTCAGCTAGCGTCTGTCGGCTAACTTCGGTCTCCTAGCGTCTGTCATTTACCGTTCGTCGGCTAGCGTCGGTCGACGCACTGGTCGGCTATCGTCAGTCCGTTAACGTCGGTCGGCTAACGTCAGTCAGTTAACGTCATTCCGCTTTGTTCCTGCCTGGCATGCCTCCTCGCATTGCCTTACTTCCTCCGCTTCTTTTACTACTCCGCACCGTCGCTGCCGGCTGTCATCATCGCTGCCAGCTGTAAATCTTCTTTCCGGCTCGGTTCTCCGACGCGTTCTGCTCTTGGGCGGACCTTTCTCATACGCATCTTGTTTTTCCCTCTCCTTCCTTCTTCCTCCCCCCCTCTCTCTCTTTCCTCTCCTCTCCCCTCCCGCCCGCCCCTCTTATCTCGTGGCCCGTCTCCTTGCACGGCGCGCAGTGATGTCGACGCGCGACGAGATGGCGATCGTCGTCAAGTGTTTGCGCCTCGGAGCCGCGGACTTTCTCGTGAAGCCGCTGCGCACCAACGAGCTCCTCAACCTCTGGACGCACATGTGGCGCCGCCGCCGATCCGTGAGCACTCTCCGCCCTCTCCGCACTCTTCGCCCTCTCCGCACTCTCCGCACTCTTCGGTTTCCTCCCTCGACCCGCTCTGCCTTTCGACTGTTTCCACGCTTTTGTTCACTCGCAACGTTGACCTGTTATTTACTCGCGCCGTCGACTTGTTTACTCGCGCCGTTGAATTCTTGCTCACTCGCGTCGCTGACTTTCTGTTCGCGGTCCCTCGCAAGTCCCGCCCTGTACTCATCTGGCCAATCCGCTTCCCCTCGTGCGCGCAGGTGGGGTTGGGGGAGGCTCCGCGGAGCATGATGGCGGTGAGCGCAAGCGAGGTGGCGCACGACCTGGTGTTCGTGGATACGAGCGAGTCGAACACGGGCACCGGCAGCACGGACCTGTTTTCTGAAGAGACGGACGATAAGCGCCGCAGCAGCGTGCAGCAACAGCACCTGCAGCAGCAGCTTCAGGAGCAGCAGGAGCAGCAGCAGCAGTTGCATGAGCTGGAGCAGCAGCAGGAGCAGGTGCAGGCGCAGAGGCGGCAGCAGCTTGTGCGGCAGGAGCAACAGAAGGAGCAGAAGGAGCACAGGGAGCAGGAGCTGCTGCGGAAGGAAAAGAAGGAGGTTGTGAAAGTGGTGGGGGAGCAGGGGGGAGAGGGGAAAGAGATGGGGGAGGAAGACGAGGTGGCGGAGGGGGAGGGGGAGGGGGAGGAAGTGGAGATGATATTGGAGCGGCAGGAGAGAGAGCAGGCGGAGGCGGAGGAGGGTGGGCAGCAGCGATGCGAGCTCATGCTGCTGGAGACGCGAGACGCTCCCGGAGCGGGAGAAGCGGGAGGGGAGAAAGGGGAAGAGAGGGAAGAGAGCGACGCGGATGAGCAGCCGTTCAAGCGGCGACACGTGGCGGCGCAGCGAGAGCGGGGCGCGGCGGGAGGAGCCTGCGGAGTGGCGCACGGTGGAGCGCAGGAGAGGAGGAGCAAGCTCGGCGCGCAGGACAGGGCGGAGCGGGAGGAGGTTGAGGGCCAGCCGCAGGTAAGCGCGCGCCCGCTTCTCCGCCGTTCACCCCGGCCCTCTATAGGCGGGTCTTTCCCTCCGCCCTCCTCGACCTCTTCAATTCCTTATATCGTCCCAACCCGCTTCTCCCTCCCCTCCCCTCCCCTTCCCCTTCTCTCCGCCATCTCCGCTGCTCTTTTCGTCCTTCCTGCTAGACGTCACCGCTCCTCTTTTCGGCCTTGTCACTTCCCCTCATTCTCATCCTTCCCTTCTCTCTCTTTGTCGTTTTCGCACCCTCTCCAACAGCCAATGCCTGCGCTCGAGCTCTCGCTCATGCTGCCACGTGTCGCGTTGCCGTTGGACGTACAATTTGCGTCCGAGCGTCGTCTGCCGCCCGACCGAGCCGCGCTTGAGACCTCACGCCCTTCCATGCCCCCCGCAATGGCCGCCACTCTCCTCGCGCTCTGCACCTCCGCGGTGGCCGCCGTCGCATCTGCGCCTCCGCGCGACACACGCGCCGCCGCAGTTGCAGCTACAACAACCAATGATGTTGCACGAGCTGGCGATGCCGGTGCCGCGAGTGCAGCAGCAACAGCAGCAGCAGCAGCCCTCTCCTTATCTTCCGCCATTCCCGCCACCGCGCACCCTTTCCCCCCACCGCCCCACCAAATGATGCTGCGCCGAGCAGCCTCCCACGAACCCACCTCCGCGCCTCTCTTTTCCTCCGCCCGCCCTCCCTCCTCCCCCACCCGCGCATCTGCGCTCCAGCCCTCCCCGCCCCTCCACACCTCCCGCGTGCTCCCCACGCGCGCCTCCCCCCAGCCGCCTGGCTCCGCGGCTGTTGCCACTCTGCTCCCGCCCTCCAGTCCCCTTCTGCCCTTCCGCCTCGCGCCCTCGCTCCCCTCTGCGCCGTCTGCGCCCTCTCTTCACTCCCCCGCGCACCTCGCGCTCCCCACGCGCACCATCAGTCAGCCCATCCTCCCCTCCGCTTCCACCGCCCGCCCTCCCGAACTCCGCCTGTCCGAAAGCCCGCCCGCTCCTGCCCCCGCGCCTGCGGCCGCGACTGCTACCACTGCTGCTGCGCGCGCCGCAACCGCCGCGCGCTCTGCGCTGAGTCGTTCAGCGAGCGCGGAGCAGGCCGCGGAGAGGAGCGCGGCGCAGGGCGCGGGGGACAAGCGCGTAGAGGATAAGCGCGCGGAACCCGCGCCCGCGACGGAGCTGCCGTTAGCCGGACGACGGGCGTCGCCCGTACGGCTGGTCCCGAAGGCGGGTGGTGCTGCTGGGTCTAATGCTGCTTCTGCTTTGAAACGGGGAGGTTGCGAGGCGATGGCAGGGCGGGGGAGGATGGCGGGGAGTGACGTGAAGAAGCAACAACAACAGCAGCAACAGCAGCAACAGCAGCAGCAGCAGCAGCAGCAGCAGCAGCTGCAGCAGCAGGGCGAGGCAGCAGCAAGAAAAAGTGTCGCAACCGCGAGGCGGGGCGGGGGCAGTCCCCCATCCCCCGCCGCCAGCGCCACACCTCCGCGGACGGCCTCACGAGCAGCTGCGCGCGCGCCTGCAAGCCCTGCGGGGATGCACCCGCGCCCTGCTGCTGGGCTGTGTGGCGGGGGAAGGGGTAAAGGCGCGGAACTGGCGGGGGCTTCACTGGGAGGGGAAGGCGGGGCAGGCCGAGATGGAACGCAGGGGGCGCACAGCATGGCTCACAGCATGGCGCAGAGCATGGCACATGGCACAGGCAACGGCACGGCTAGGGATGGCGGGGGCGCAGAGGTGAATGTGAGTGGCGGCAGCAGCGGCAGCCTTGTAGCTGGGCACAGCGCTGCCTTCTGGAACCATATGATTGATCGCAGTGGCCTCCGGGGGTACCTCCCCCACTCCCTCCCCCACTCCCCGCCCGCCATGCCTGCTCCTGCTCCGAGCCTCCGTGCCGGATCGCCGAACCTGCCCGCCGGCCTGCGTGGCGGCTCGGGCAGCTTGGCGGGTTACAAGAGGCAGCTGTCCGGGGCAGCACGCGTGGAGCATGGGTCAGGGCGTGGGACTGGGCAGGGGTTGGGGCCAGGTGTTAAGTCGCCCTCCCCTGCTCCCTCTCCTGCTGCCACGCCCTCTGCTGCGTCTGCTCCCTGTCCTCCATCTGCTGCTGCCAGCGCTGCTGCTGCCTCCTCTGCTACTGCCGCTGCAGCTACGGCCGCTGCAGCAGCTGCTGCTACTGCCGCAGCGCAACGCCAGGCAGCGCCTGCCTTCCTGCGGCCCACCGTGCTGCCACCGGCGTCGCTACGGGATCACTCTCCGTACCCACCTGCTCACCACGCCCACACGCACTCCTCGTCGGACGTCTTTTCTGCCCAGCACGCTACTCCCTCCCACGCTACTCCCGATCGCTGCTTCCCCACTCAGCAGATGCAGCAACAGCAGCAACAACAACAACAGCAGCAACAGCAGCAACAGCACCAACAGCAGCAACAGCAGCAGCAGCAGCAGCAGCAGCAGCAGCAGCAGCAGCAGCAGCAGCAGCAGCAGCAGCAGCAGCAGCAGCAGCAGCAGCAGCAACAGCAGCAACAGCAGCAACAGCAGCAGCAGCAGCAGCAGCAGCAGCAGCAGCCTGATTTCCACTCGCCTCCCTCCGTGCCTGCTCTCTCTCTTCCCTCCAACCTCGCGGTAGCTGCGGCTGCTGCTGCCGCCGCTGCTGCTGCATCGGGCCTTCCACCACAACATCCCATCGTGCAATCACTAGCAGCCGCTGCTGCTGGCAATGCCATGCAGCAAATGCAGCAGCAGCAGCAGCAGCTGCAACAACAGCAGCAGACCCAGCAGCAACAGCAGCAGTATCGGCCGTCCCACCATTCGCATGCTCTAGCAGCAGCAGCAGCAACGTTCGCCCATCTCCCTCCTGATGCAGCAGCAGCAGCCGCCGCAGCCTTCTCTCGCCTCCCCCCCGAAGCCCTTGCAGCCGCAGCCGCAGCAGCTGCTGCATCATCCAACAACGCACACACTACCCTCCCTCTCCCTTCCTCCCTCCCTCCTACAAACCCTTTCTCTTTCCTCTCGTCCCTCGCTGCTGCTCCAGCCATACCTCCCTCCCTGCCTTTTCCGGGAATGACAGCAGCGGCACAGTTTCTAGCACCGGGAGCAGCAGCCGCTGCAGCTGCAGCGGCAGCAGCGGCAGGGGGGAGTGGCATGGGTGCATACAACCCAACGATGCCTTTCCCTTCATGGCCTGACCCATCTGCTGCTGCCATGCTTTTCAATCCAGCTTCTGCTGCTGACGCTGCTGCTGGGGGGGCAGCAGGCGGAATGGGTGGAATGGGAGGAGCAGGAGGGATGGGAGGTTTGGGAGGAATGGGAGGGATGGGGGCATTGGGGGGAATGGGGGGAATGGGGCCAATGGGAGGGATGGGAGGAATGGGGGGAGGGGTGGTGGGTGCAGTGGGAGGGGGAGGGGCAAGTGCAGGAGGGGATGGGTTGATGGAGAGGCGGGTGGAGGGATACCAGCGTCGGGAGGCAGCTCTGAACAAATTCAGGCAGAAGCGCAAGGATCGGTGTTTTGAGAAAAAGATTCGGTACGTGAGCAGAAAGCGACTTGCGGAGATGCGACCACGGGTGAAGGGGCAGTTTGTGCGGAAGAAGACAGCGGGGAAAGGGCATGGCGGGCAGCAGGAGAGCGAGGAGGAGGACGAGGAGGAGGAGGAGGATGATGAGGAAGAGGAGGAGGGAGGCAACGAGTAGCCCTATTGTGCTGGTTGCGGCACCAGCAGCACACGGTCAGCTGCATGCTGCCTTGGAGTGTGTGCTCCTGTGCTCATGTGCTTTGCCGCACACCGCACCACTCGTGTCTCCATACCTCCCCATACCCGCCATTTCATTCCTGTTCTGTTACATCCTCTCCCTCTTACCACCTATCTTCTGCACTCATCCCCTCCCCAATCCTTGCTATTTTCTACCTGTTTTTCACTCGCTCACACCCTGCCACCAGTGCACTGGTGTACCTGACTTGTGTTGTTGTGCTTGCACGAGTTGCTCTCATAGCTTTACTCCACGGTTGCTCCGAGGCCGTGTAGCAAAATAACATCTAGCATAACTTAACATCCTTATTTGTTCCTTTCTATGTGCTTTTTGCTAGGCATGTGACCCTTGAGTTGCTACTGGTTGACCGCCTTTGCGTACCTACTAATGTCCTGCAAGAAGTAAGATGAGTTGCATCTGCCGTATATACTGTAGGAGGCTTGATAGTGTTGCTTTTAGTAGCTTTATGCACAAAAGTAAGCTCCTAAAGGCGTCAGAGTAGGCTCCTCCCCCCTCCCACTAAGTGTAGATTCTGTCTGGGAAAACAGGAAACATAATTCCGTCTGGGGCCTAACAGTGATGGTGATTTATAATGGTGTATCGGGTGCCATTGTTTCGGTACAGACATGTTTCGGCAATTTTGTGTGTTCACAAACAAATATGAGACATGAAGCACTACATTACATCACGGCGTTGTGTCAGAACCTTGCGCTTCTGACAGGCGATTCCCGCTCAAACGGCGGGGCTGCGGAACCGACATGCTGCGGAAATTCCAAGGATATCCTCGCAAAACTCAACTCAAAATTTCGCGAGTCGTATGTTCTCCAAGCGAAGCGAGTATCCCCGTCAACAACGCTTTCACGAAGATGTACATCCGCCGACGGTGCGGCGGCCTGCACCTGAGCAGGGGAAATGGATTCTTGTCGCCTCTGTGAACTCATTCACCACTCTGAATCCGTCTGGACCCTGAATTTCACCACTGAAGCCGACTGTTTTTTGACTGATGATTGCCTCTTTCTCTCTTCCTAATCCTTTTTCCACCTTCCCTGAATGCCATTCCTTGTCTTGCTCACAGCAGCTTGCTCACGGATTCCGTCAGTATAAGCTAGCTAAGCCGACGTCCATGGCTGCCGCTATTTGTTACACACCATTAATGGTTATCAATCATAGTCTTGCCCCTTGTACTCTTCAGATATGTTTATCTAAAGGTCGACAAGACGGAGATTACGAATCGTTGCAATCCATGGCTGTGTCTCCTGACGCGAACCAGTAGCCTTTTAACCTTAGTCGTAGCCATCGTTAAGAAGAAAACCGATCATTACGTGTGTTCTAGTCGGACAGAGATATTCCAAGCTTAGATGCTGTAGTCATTTGGAGCAGTTTTATGTCCGTCATCGACGCATTACTCTCACTTGACTGCAGTTCTGATTTCTATTCCAGTATTTCGGAACAACTTAGACCGAGTATTCTAGACATCTGACGAGCGCGGAACAGAGGTTGTTTGCTGAGATTTCTCATACATCTTCTTCCGATCTCCATGCGCTCCTTCAATTAGCGAAGCGTCGGCGCTCTCCAGCAGCGAGAAAGGTTCCATTTGGTGATGACCGAGGCTGATATCGTGCCGGCGACAGCTTTCCGAATGATCTTACGAGGCTAGCAATGAGCATCTCGGACGTCGAATAGCGAGACGTCGCTATCTAACGGTGGTGACTGAGACGATGCGTTTTAACGGTGGCGAACGACACGGCCACTTCCAACGGTGGTAGCTGAGACTGTCAAGTCACGGCCGCTTCTGACGGTGACGAAAAGTACTAGTGCCGACTCTGACGACGGAACCGACGATATCTAGCAGTGACGATTGAAGTGACACTTTCCCACGGTGACGATCGGAGCGACTCTTTCCGACGGTAACGACCAGGCTTGCGATTTCTCACAGTGACTATCAAAGCGATGCTTCTTCGACGGTGACGATTGAAGTGACAAGTTCCGACGGCGACGATCAGGATTGCGAACGTTGACGATCTAAGCGACGCTTTCTGACGGCGACGACGGAGATGGTGTCTTCGGACGGTGACGATCAACAGTGCGGCTTCTCACGGTGACGATCGAAGCGACGATTTTTGAAAAGGGACCGAGACTGCGGGTGTTGCTGCTGACATTTTCAAAGCGACGTGCGGAAAGCTACGTGCGGAAATCGACTTGCGGAAAGCGACGAGCGGAAAGCGACGTGCGAAAAGCGACGTGCGGAAAGCGACGTGCGGAAAGCGACGTGCGGAAAGCGCCTTGCGGAAAGCGACGTGCGGAAAGCGACGTGTGGAAGCGACGTGCGGAAAGCGACGTGCGGAAAGCGACGTGCGGAAAGCGACGTGCGGAAAGCGACGTGCGGAAAACGGCGTGCGGAAAACGAGGTGCGGAAAGGGACGAGCGGAAAGCGACGTGCGGAAAGCGACTTGCGGAAAGCTACGTGCAACTTCTGAATCCTGCTTAAGTTTCCTCCTCAACACTTGCACTCCTCTCTTGCCCCCACCCGCCCTTGTCGTTGCACCACTCTGTTGTGTTGCTGCATCCTGCGTTTCACGTCCCAAAGAAATGTGCTCCTGTGAGGCGCATGGCGGCGGTGGGTCCGGGCGCATTGGCAGCTGAGCTCATATAGAGTCCAGAGAGAGAGAGAGAGAGAGAGAGTGGGTGTAGCATAGAGTAGCAGTGCATTCATGCCATGCTCGCGTCTCTCTCTTCCCCAGTCCCCCCTCGCTGCCTTTGCTCGCTGCCGTGCTGCCCTTGGCCCCACCGTCTCCATGCGCCTTCCCCTCCCACCTCTCCCCGACCACTAACTTGCCGTTCCGCTCTGCTCACCATTCACTGCATGCATGCTTGCCGTTTTTTGTTGCATGCATGCTTGCCGTTTTTTGTTGCATGCATGCTTGCCGTTTTTTGTTGCATGCATGCTTGCCGTTTTATCCTTCTGCCACTTGCGTACCCCCTGCTTATGATATCACTTGTCGTCTCACCTCAACTCTCTGCTCCGTTAACGTGTGTCCCTCTTCTCCTCTCTTCCTGCCTGCATCCCTCTATCAGCGCACCTACAAGGCGGCAGGGCAGCAGCAGGGGGCCAGGAGGAGCAGTGGGAGCAGCGTGGTGAGCGGGAGAGGCGAGCGGTGGGATGACGCACGGCCTGGGCTGGCCCTGCTGACCACTGCTGCCGAGTTGCTGGACTACTGCAGGGAGGGCTGCTGCTGGCCGTGTCAAGATCCCTCTGCTCCTCATGCGACTGCTCGTCACCCGGCTAAGAGTTCCTCATACCCTCTCTTCTTCCTGCTTCTTCTCCTTTCTTCTTTCGCTTATCGAATCTTGCCCGAAACAAAAACGTTGCTTTTGCTTGGGAGGGATTGAAAGTTGACTGAGGGATATGGGCGGTGTGTGGCGATGGTAGCACATGGCACTGGGGCGGCTTGAGCTCACACTAGAGTCCTAGAGGGTTAGAATGCACTCACACTCACGCCCGCATCTCCTCCCCCTTGCCTGCTAGCTCGCCAACCTAGTGCCATGAGCTACCATCGCCTACCCTTTCACTGTGCCACCTGTTGTTTAACTTCCAGCTTTTACTCTCTCACAGTATTATGCCTCCGTTTTGTTTTCCTGCCGTTATCCCTGCCGCTTTACAATTTCACAATCACGCCCATGCTTATGTTAGACTAACTTCTTCAATTCCTGCCCCCTTCTGCCTTCTCTCCTCTCTCCCACCCGCTCCCTTCCCTCTCCGAAACTTTCCCCCTCTCGCACAGGGCTGCGGCAGCGTGATGCGGGGAGGGAGGGCGGTGGGATGACGCACGGCAGGCAGTCACGGCGGCGTGCGTGCCTCCTGCATGCCCTGCTGACCACGTCGCTCCCTCACGCGCCCAGCGACCTTGAGTGCTGCTGCTGGGAGTGTTGCTGCCGGGAGTGTCGCTGCTGGGAGGGCTGCGGCTGGCATTGACAAGGCGACGAGCAGCTTCTGAATCCCGCTAAGTTCCCTCCTCAACCCTTGCCATCCTTACCGCCGCTTTACATTGTAATTCGTGTTCATATTTGCCCAGCCTCTCTTTTTAAGCATGCTTCGAACCAAAACGCCGCCTTCGCATGAAGGTATTAAAAACGTTTGCGTGTCCCACTTGCCTGCTAGCTCGCCAACCTAGTGCCATGAGCTACCATCGCCTACCCTTTCACAGTGCCACCTGTTGTTTAACTTCCAGCTTTTACTCTCACAGTAATATGCCTCCGTTTCGTTTCAATTGCGCCCATGCTTATATTAGACAAACTTTCTACAATTCCTGCCCCCTTCTGCCTTCTCTCCTCTCTCATACTCGCTCCCTTCCCTCTCCTAAGATTTTCCTCTCTCGCACAGGGCTGTGACAGCGTGGTGCGGAGAGGGAGGGCGGTGGGATGACGCACGGCAGGCAGTCACAGGGGTTTTTTTTAGCCTCCTGGAAGTCTGTCGCCACTGTCCTGCAAACAACCCCATACGACTAAGTTCCCTCTCCCTTCGCCCTTGCCATCCTTGCCGCTTCTGCTTCGTCTTTATGATTGCCCACTGTTGTACTGCATTCTTTCGTCACCGCATGCTCGAAACAAACGAGGTCACTTTCGAATGCGAGCGATCAAAAGTCGAGAGAGAGATGAGCGGCGTTTTGACGATGGTAGCGCATGGCACTATGGTGGCTTGAGCTCAAACTAGAGTCGTAGGGGGTAGAGTAGAATGCCCGCGCCCCTTCCTTACCTCGTCCCCTTGCCTGCTAGCTCGCCGCTCTAGTGTTGTGTGCTACCATCGCCTGCCCTTTCAAATCGTCACAGTGCCACGTGCTTTTTATCTATAACTGTTGTCGCCCGACCATGCGCCCGACCATGCGCCCGACCATGCGCCCGACCATGCGCCCGACCATGCGCCTGCCCATGCGCCCGCCCATGCGCCCGACCATGCGCCCGCCCATGCGACCACCCTTGCGCCCACCCATGCGCGCACCCATGCGCCCACCCATGCGCCCACCCATGCGGCCACGCGACCACCCATGCGCCCACCCATGCGTCCACCCATGCGCCGGCCCACCATGCGGCCACCCATGCGCCCACCCATGCGGCCACCCGTGCGACCACCCATGCGCCCACCCATGCGTCCACCCATGCGCCGGCCCACCATGCGCCCACCCATGCGCCCACCCATGCGCCCACCCATGCGCCCACCCATGCGTCCACCCATGCGCCGGCCCACCATGCGCCCACCCATGCGCCCACCCATGCGGCCACCCATGCGGCCACCCATGCGCCCACCCATGCCCCCACCCATGCCCCCACACATGCGCCCACCCATGCGGCCACCCATGCGACCACCCATGCACCCACCCATGCGCCCACCCATGCGCCTGCCCACCCATGTGCCCGACCATGCGCCCACCCATGCGCCCACCCATGCGGCCACCCATGCGACCACCCATGCGCCCACCCATGCGCCCACCCATGCGCTCGCCCACCATGCGCCCACCCATGCGCCCACCCAGCCCTCCTCCCCCACTCGCTTCCTCCACTCCCCACGCTTCATCCTTTAAAGGACCATCCAGCCCTCCTCTCCCATCTCGCTTCCTCCACTCCCCTCGCTTCCTCCTCCCAAGGGCCATCCAGCCCTCCTCTCCCACCTCGCTTCCTCCACTCCCCACGCTTCCTCCTCCTAAGGGCCATTCAGCCCTCTTCTCCCGCCTCGCTTCCTCTACTCCCCTCGCTTCCTCCTCCTAAGGGCCATCCAGCCCTCCTCTCCCCCCTCGCTTCCTCCATTCCCCTCACTTCCTCCTCCTAAGGGCCATCCAGCCCTCCTCTCCCACCTCGCTTCCTCCACTCCCCACGCTTCCGCATCCTAAGGGCCATCCAGCCCTCCACGCCTCTGTGATGTGAGGCGGGCGCCACTCCTCTGTGGTGTGAGGCGGGCGCCACTCCTCTGTGATGTGAGGCGGGCGCCACTCCTCTGTCGTGTGAGGCGGGCGCCACTCCTCTGTGATGTGAGGCGGGCGCCACTCCTCTGTGGTGTGAGGCGGGCGCCACTCCTCTGTGATGTGAGGCGGGCGCCACTCCTCTGTGGTGTGAGGCGGGCGCCACTCCTCTGTGATGTGAGGCGGGCGCCACTCCTCTGTGGTGTGAGGCGGGCGCCACTCCTCTGTGATGTGAGGCGGGCGCCACTCCTCTGTGGTGTGAGGCGGGCGCCACTCCTCTGTGATGTGAGGCGGGCGCCACTCCTCTGTGATGTGAGGCGGGCGCCACTCCTCTGTGATGTGAGGCGGGCGCCACTCCTCTGTGATGTGAGGCGGGCGCCACTCCTCTGTGGTGTGAGGCGGGCGCCACTCCTCTGTGGTGTGAGGCGGGCGCCACTCCTCTGTGATGTGAGGCGGGCGCCACTCCTCTGTGATGTGAGGCGGGCGCCACTCCTCTGTGTTGTGAGGCGGGCGCCACTCCTCTGTGATGTGAGGCGGGCGCCACTCCTCTGTGGTGTGAGGCGGGCGCCACTCCTCTGTGGTGTGGGGCGGGCGCCACTCCTCTGTGATGTGAGGCGGGCGCCACTCCTCTGTGGTGTGAGGCGGGCGCCACTCCTCTGTGATGTGAGGCGGGCGCCACTCCTCTGTGGTGTGAGGCGGGCGCCACTCCTCTGTGGTGTGGGGCGGGCGCCACTCCTCTGTGATGTGAGGCGGGCGCCACTCCTCTGTGGTGTGAGGCGGGCGCCACTCCTCTGTGGTGTGAGGCGGGCGCCACTCCTCTGTGATGTGAGGCGGGCGCCACTCCTCTGTGGTGTGAGGCGGGCGCCACTCCTCTGTGGTGTGAGGCGGGCGCCACTCCTCTGTGATGTGAGGCGGGCGCCACTCCTCTGTGATGTGAGGCGGGCGCCACTCCTCTGTGGTGTGAGGCGGGCGCCACTCCTCTGTGATGTGAGGCGGGCGCCACTCCTCTGTGATGTGAGGCGGGCGCCACTCCTCTGTGGTGTGAGGCGGGCGCCACTCCTCTGTGATGTGAGGCGGGCGCCACTCCTCTGTGGTGTGAGGCGGGCGCCACTCCTCTGTGGTGTGAGGCGGGCGCCACTCCTCTGTGATGTGAGGCGGGCGCCACTCCTCTGTGGTGTGAGGCGGGCGCCACTCCTCTGTGGTGTGAGGCGGGCGCCACTCCTCTGTGATGTGAGGCGGGCGCCACTCCTCTGTGGTGTGAGGCGGGCGCCACTCCTCTGTGATGTGAGGCGGGCGCCACTCCTCTGTGGTGTGAGGCGGGCGCCACTCCTCTGTGGTGTGAGGCGGGCGCCACTCCTCTGTGATGTGAGGCGGGCGCCACTCCTCTGTGGTGTGAGGCGGGCGCCACTCCTCTGTGGTGTGAGGCGGGCGCCACTCCTCTGTGGTCTGAGGCGGGCGCCACTCCTCTGTGATGTGAGGCGGGCGCCACTCCTCTGTGATGTGAGGCGGGCGCCACTCCTCTGTGATGTGAGGCGGGCGCCACTCCTCTGTGATGTGAGGCGGGCGCCACACCTCTGTGGTGTGAGGCGGGCGCCACTCCTCTGTGGTGTGGGGCGGGCGCCACTCCTCTGTGATGTGAGGCGGGCGCCACTCCTCTGTGGTGTGAGGCGGGCGCCACTCCTCTGTGGTGTGAGGCGGGCGCCACTCCTCTGTGATGTGAGGCGGGCGCCACTCCTCTGTGGTGTGAGGCGGGCGCCACTCCTCTGTGGTGTGAGGCGGGCGCCACTCCTCTGTGATGTGAGGCGGGCGCCACTCCTCTGTGATGTGAGGCGGGCGCCACTCCTCTGTGGTGTGAGGCGGGCGCCACTCCTCTGTGATGTGAGGCGGGCGTCTCTACTCTGTGATGTGAGGCGGGCGCCACTCCTCTGTGATGTGAGGCGGGCGCCACTCCTCTGTGATGTGAGGCGGGCGCCACTCCTCTGTGATGTGAGGCGGGCGCCACTCCTCTGTGGTGTGAGGCGGGCGCCACTCCTCTGTGGTGTGAGGCGGGCGCCACTCCTCTGTGATGTGAGGCGGGCGCCACTCCTCTGTGGTGTGGGGCGGGCGCCACTCCTCTGTGATGTGAGGCGGGCGCCACTCCTTTGTGGTGTGAGGCGGGCGCCACTCCTCTGTGATGTGAGGCGGGCGCCACTCCTCTGTGGTGTGAGGCGGGCGCCACTCCTCTGTGGTGTGAGGCGGGCGCCACTCCTCTGTGGTGTGAGGCGGGCGCCACTCCTCTGTGATGTGAGGCGGGCGCCACTCCTCTGTGGTGTGAGGCGGGCGCCACTCCTCTGTGATGTGAGGCGGGCGCCACTCCTCTGTGGTGTGAGGCGGGCGCCACTCCTCTGTGGTGTGAGGCGGGCGCCACTCCTCTGTGATGTGAGGCGGGCGCCACTCCTCTGTGGTGTGAGGCGGGCGCCACTCCTCTGTGGTCTGAGGCGGGCGCCACTCCTCTGTGATGTGAGGCGGGCGCCACTCCTCTGTGATGTGAGGCGGGCGCCACTCCTCTGTGATGTGAGGCGGGCGCCACACCTCTGTGGTGTGAGGCGGGCGCCACTCCTCTGTGGTGTGGGGCGGGCGCCACTCCTCTGTGATGTGAGGCGGGCGCCACTCCTCTGTGATGTGAGGCGGGCGCCACTCCTCTGTGGTGTGAGGCGGGCGCCACTCCTCTGTGATGTGAGGCGGGCGCCACTCCTCTGTGGTGTGAGGCGGGCGCCACTCCTCTGTGGTGTGAGGCGGGCGCCACTCCTCTGTGATGTGAGGCGGGCGCCACTCCTCTGTGGTGTGAGGCGGGCGCCACTCCTCTGTGGTGTGGGGCGGGCGCCACTCCTCTGTGATGTGAGGCGGGCGCCACTCCTCTGTGGTGTGAGGCGGGCGCCACTCCTCTGTGGTGTGAGGCGGGCGCCACTCCTCTGTGGTGTGAGGCGGGCGCCACTCCTCTGTGATGTGAGGCGGGCGCCACTCCTCTGTGATGTGAGGCGGGCGCCACTCCTCTGTGGTGTGAGGCGGGCGCCACTCCTCTGTGGTGTGAGGCGGGCGCCACTCCTCTGTGATGTGAGGCGGGCGCCACTCCTCTGTGGTGTGAGGCGGGCGCCACTCCTCTGTGATGTGAGGCGGGCGCCACTCCTCTGTGGTGTGAGGCGGGCGCCACTCCTCGGTGGTGTGAGGCGGGCGCCACTCCTCTGTGATGTGAGGCGGGCGCCACTCCTCTGTGATGTGAGGCGGGCGCCACTCCTCTGTGGTGTGAGGCGGGCGCCACTCCTCTGTGGTGTGAGGCGGGCGCCACTCCTCTGTGGTGTGAGGCGGGCGCCACTCCTCTGTGATGTGAGGCGGGCGCCACTCCTCTGTGGTGTGAGGCGGGCGCCACTCCTCTGTGGTGTGAGGCGGGCGCCACTCCTCTGTGGTGTGAGGCGGGCGCCACTCCTCTGTGATGTGAGGCGGGCGCCACTCCTCTGTGGTGTGAGGCGGGCGCCACTCCTCTGTGATGTGAGGCGGACGCCACTCCTCTGTGATGTGAGGCGGGCGCCACTCCTCTGTGATGTGAGGCGGACGCCACTCCTCTGTGGTGTGAGGCGGGCGCCACTCCTCTGTGATGTGAGGCGGGCGCCACTCCTCTGTGATGTGAGGCGGGCGCCACTCCTCTGTGGTGTGAGGCGGGCGCCACTCCTCTGTGATGTGAGGCGGGCGCCACTCCTCTGTGGTGTGAGGCGGGCGCCACTCCTCTGTGGTGTGAGGCGGGCGCCACTCCTCTGTGGTGTGAGGCGGGCGCCACTCCTCTGTGATGTGAGGCGGGTGCCACTCCTCTGTGGTGTGAGGCGGGCGCCACTCCTCTGTGGTGTGAGGCGGGCGCCACTCCTCTGTGGTGTGAGGCGGGCGCCACTCCTCTGTGGTGTGAGGCGGGCGCCACTCCTCTGTGGTGTGAGGCGGGCGCCACTCCTCTGTGATGTGAGGCGGGCGCCACTCCTCTGTGGTGTGAGGCGGGCGCCACTCCTCTGTGATGTGAGGCGGGCGCCACTCCTCTGTGGTGTGAGGCGGGCGCCACTCCTCTGTGGTGTGAGGCGGGCGCCACTCCTCTGTGGTGTGAGGCGGGCGCCACTCCTCTGTGGTGTGAGGCGGGCGCCACTCCTCTGTGATGTGAGGCGGGCGCCACTCCTCTGTGGTGTGAGGCGGGCTCCACTCCTCTGTGATGTGAGGCGGGCGCCACTCCTCTGTGGTGTGAGGCGGGCGCCACTCCTCTGTGATGTGAGGCGGGCGCCACTCCTCTGTGGTGTGAGGCGGGCGCCACTCCTCTGTGATGTGAGGCGGGCGCCACTCCTCTGTGATGTGAGGCGGGCGCCACTCCTCTGTGATGTGAGGCGGGCGCCACTCCTCTGTGATGTGAGGCGGGCGCCATGCACCCACCCATGCGACCAACCATGCGCCCACCTATGCGCCCACCAATGCGCCCACCCATGCACCCACCCATGCGCCCACCCATGCGCCCACCCATGCGCCCGCCCTTGCGCCCGACCAGAGCGATGAGCGAAGCAGAGGTACATGAACGGATATGAGGTTGAAGATTTGAGATGTGGTGAGTCGTCTCTGACAAATCCGCTTTCCTCGTATTCAAGGTGGCCTGCTCCTTTGATCCTCTACACATCGCTGCACGTTATGCTTCACTCTCACGTTTTTGTCAATCTCCTCTCCTTACCTTCGCTCTTCTATCTTCAGATGCCCTATTGCTCGGCTCTTTCTCTCCTCTTTGTTCACATGCCTTTTCCCCTCGCGTTTTCTGCTTCAGGTGTGGCTAGAGTAACATTTTGGTAGCAGCATTGGAGCACGAGGGTGCACAAGAATAGCACGTGCTTTGAGGCTTTTTCTAGTGGTGAGTTTCTGTACCCACCCTTTTCTCTTCCGCACCAATACCCCTTCCAACCCCACAGTTCCTGTCCTTTGCAGTCCTTTGCCTTCCGTGCCCATTTTTTTCTCTACCCAGCAACACAATTCCACTGTGGCTGATTGATTTTTGTATGGATCCATGAGCTTCATCCTTACCCTTCCACATGCTTCAAGGACCTTGCAATGTTTTCGTCGCCTCTCATGTGCCAACCTCTCTCTTCGCCTCTCATGTGACAATCTCTCTCTCGCTGCGTTTTGGGTGTGTTGTTGACATTACAGTGAGGCGGGGTGGAGAGTAAGCGCTGGAACGAACTGAAGAGTACGGTAGTAGAACTAATTGGAGCGGCCAGCTGGTGAAGACATCACCGTTGCATGTGAAGGTGAGGAAGTAACAACTAAACACAGACTGAACCCCAGAAACGTCATGTCATATCATACCATCATATCATCTACATTGTGCCCAAATCGAACAACACCCATCATTTCACAACAGGCTCAACTCTTGTCTTCTTGCAGGGCAACCAACGACGATCCTTTTGGAAGTGAAGATGGAGGATGAAGGCCACATATGCCAGAGCTGAAGAATATAGGAAATATGATCAGATAGGTTATCTAGGCTGGTAAAACTCTCAGGTGTGTTATCCCCCCCTCTCCCCCTTAACTCCCAAAGATCCCAACCACCACCACCCCCCCCCCCCCTCCTCCTTAATGTTTTCCCCCAGTCCCGCTCCCTCCCCTCCCCCTGCGTAGGACTCCCCCCCCCCCCCCCCCCCCCCCCCCCACCTCCCCCCCGGATTGCTCCTTCGTTTTCCTCCCCCTGCAACCCGCCTCCTTTTGCGACCCACCTCCCTATGGGACCCACCTCAGCAACCCCCACGTAGGCCAGGCACAGGGCTAACCACGGGGCTAACCACGGGGCTAACCACAGGGCTAGTCACAGGGAAAAGCGCAGGGATAACCACAGGGGTAACTGCGGCGCCAACAACAGGGTTAGTCACAGGGCAAATCGCAGGTCTAACTACAGGGCTACCACAAAATTGATCACGAGGTTCATCACAGGGCTAACCACAGGGCTAACCACAGGGCTAACCACAGGGCTATCCACAATGTTAATCACAGAGTTTGCATGCTAATCACAGAGCTTGTGCCTTGACGCATGCTACTACCGCAGTAAGCCCTCTACGAGGACTGTTACCGTACTTGCCTTCCTGTGTACAGTGGACATTTTGCTGCTTCGCGTGTCCACATCATACCCGTACAAGCAAGCATGTGAGTATACACACATATGGAATGACGCACCGCATGAGACCAGACCATGCTCCCAGTCACAGTTACATCACCACGTTTAGAGCATGTATCAGTAGTTACATAAGTTGGACTACGGTAACAACGAATATACAGGTAGCTGATGGACTTTCAGCCAAGAACCACTTGATAGGTCTACACTATACTGGATGATCAACCATGCTAGCAGGGCAGCTCCAGCCTTGTCAGCCTCTACCGTATATCCCCTTGCCTGTGACCCCTTAGCCTGGGCCACACAATGAACACACTGATGTCATGACAGCAGCTGGAGCAGCTCACCAGGAGAGCTCTGCTTGCCGTGAACACCATCATGCACAGACAGGAAAGTGCTGCTGTGCTGCTGATGCATCCCCTCCTCAATCCCAGATCTGCAAAGAGACCGCCACGGGTTAGCTGCAGCACCTGGTGCGGGAAACGAGGCTGGTGGGTAGAAATCTGGCGCTTCTACTGTTGCATGTGAGTCGAGTGATTCCGATCCTGCTCTCACTCGTGCGGCGCTGCTTCCTCCCAGGTCTGTCCGGAGCTGCAGGTTCGGAGGGACGAATTGCGGCGAGTCTGAGGTTGGGGCATGCATGAGCTTTGGTCGTCTGGCCACAGGCGCCAGCAGCAGTGCACTGCTCTCTTCAGGGCCTCTGCTGCTCTTGGACCCGCTCAGCCCACTCGGTCTGCTCCCACTGACGCCACTAGCCATGGGGGACAGGCAGCTGGCAGGGCTCTCCGTGCGCTCTGGTGCCGCCCGCGCGCCGCCCGCTGCTGCTGCCGGTGCAGCTGGGGTTTTGTGGGTCTCCATTGCTGATGGAACAGCGGGTGGCGTGCATGGCCTTAGACGCTGCTGCTTCTCATTCTCTGATTGCTGCTGTTGCGCTTGCTGTTGCGCTTGCTGCTGCTGCTGCGATGCAGCGCTCAGTTGCTGCTGTTGATGTGATGGGGTTAAGTAAGCAGCAGCGGATGGAACACCACCAGTTGCTATCTGTCCCGAAGTAAACGGCACTTGCTGGCTTTGCGGGACCGCCACGTTTCCGAACGTCATTGGCTGGAAGCCAGTCACTGAAAACCCGGGAATCTGAGCTGGCGGTGGCGGCGTTGCAACCATCATCACTCCGCCTGGCGCCGCGCTGGGAAAGGTGGACGTTGGAGCGGTAGACCCATGGGCAGCCGGCCAATAGGAGATCATCTGACCGGACGCGACCATCGGCTGGCCGGCAGACATGACGGCAGAGCCAGCGGTCGGCAAGGAGACGGCGGCACTCGGCTGATACATGCCAGGTGTGGCGTACATGCTGTGTAAATGTACCATCTGCTGTTGCTGCTGCTGCTGCTGTTGCTGCTGCTGCTGTTGCTGCTGTTGTTGCTGAAGCTGTGCATACTGCTGCTGCTGTTGCTGTTGCATCAGTTGCTGCGGAAGGTAGCTCCCCGCGAGACCGCCTACGAGCGGCCCACTCACGCCGCCTGCGGCGCCTGGTAAGGGGGGGAGCGCGGAGGCCGTCGCGGGCAACCCACCGCGTGGCCTCAGGACGCCCATTGCGCCGGGAAAGAACGGCGCGCCGGCGGGAAAAACGGACGGCGGGAACGACGAAGGTGCAGCGGAGTTTCCGACCATCATTACAGGCCCCGCTGACGTCATCACGGTGGGAGTAGGGAGCGCACAAGCGGCTACGATCGGCCGGACAGTGGGAGTGGGGACCTGGGGAGCAGGAGGATCAGTAGGGGAAGTGACGGCTGGAGCGGAAGTGTCAGATATCGGCTTTATCGACCCTCCGCGAAGCACGGCGTCGACCGCAGCCTCGCAGAAATGCCACTGGCCCGTCCAGAGCAGTCCCGAAGCGCCGTAAACGGGATTGATGGTGCGGCCGCACGCCTCGAAGAGCAGCGACTGGAAGAGCGCGGGCCGTTGGATCTCCTCGACCCCAGAGATGAAGCCCATTAGGCCCGCGCGGCCGTAGAACTTGGCGAGGAAGAGCGTCGCGTGGCCCTGCGCCTCCGCGCCGTCGATCCCCGCGAGGCAGTGGCGGATCACGCAGCTCTCGCTGCAGCCTTTTCGTAACACGCGACAACCGTTGCAGCTCATGGCGATTGCTCGACGAGACGTTGTTGAGAGATGCGCTGTTCTTGAGACGCTTGATCTGAACTACCAAACGAGACACTTTTGTTTTAACAGGTATCTCTGGAGCGCCAATTAACGATGTCCACCAGGAGCTGGTCCAAACATCTGGGTTATCTATTCCGGTCGTCCGATGAGCTTCGTTATTATGCCGTCGTCACCCTACAGTCCTTGGCATATAACGGAATGAGTGAGGGCGGAAGGAGGACGGGAGGTGGATCAGTTATAGTTGTGGTCGTAGGAACGAGAACAATGAAGCAACAGCAGCCTCACTGGAGGGGAACAACAAAGCGACTGGAAGCGGACTAATTGGAGCAGATCTCTGATCGCATTGTCGGGATTGTTGCCAAGCGCTTGCCTGCCTGTTTTCAGCCAAGGCGAGCCGCGTCACTTTCGTAGATCTCCCCAAGCAAGCCAACGAACAGCCTGTGAATGAAATGACGCGGTCCCTCAAGCTGATCGGATCAGGTTAGGAAGGTCCGCGCAGACGTGGCACAGGCTCTCTGCTTGGGCTTGTTGTGAAGCAAGGTTTCCTAAGCTGGTTGAAGTTTGTCGCTGCTCTTGCCAGGGCAGCTTGGATAAGATATTTGCTGTGCGCCAATTCAGAAGTCTGTGCCGAAGCGGAGCATCATCAATGTACGCACGAAGTGTTCTCTTTTGCTGGGAACGGAAACGTCAGCCTAACACAATTCCACGTCGAACAGCTGCTCTACTTACTCATATTAAAAGCTCACCACCGAGGCTCCCGATTCGCGGCGTCGCCCTCAGGGCTTTTACACCATCCAACACCACAGTTCAAGCATGCGTGCCTTATCCAGTGAGTCATTGATGACATGGATGACGCACGCAACGCGCTGTACTCTCCAGCGTTTTCGGAAACTGTATGGAATGCCACGATGCGATTGGAGAGCATCGCCGACCTTGCCATGTCACTCCCGTGGTTCGCTGATTGCTCAACTTTAATGGCGCGGACAGTGGAGGATGACAGGGCGCCCGCAAGAAGGTTGATGACAGGGCGCCCGCAAGAAGTTCGTGAATCGTCAGCAAAAACTACTGTACATAGTGTACTGAATTTTGTTCGGAACTTTGTGGCTTTCCTTTCCCAGCAACTGCATATTACACATGATGCCCGTTTGAGCCACTCCCAGTTGCCTTTTAAAATGAGCTTATAATATGCTGGAATTGGCATAAGCTTCGTCAATTCGCAGCTAGCTAAAAAGGATTCGCAGGTGCTTATAAAAAGGATTTTTAACGTATCTGTTGAAATTTTTACTTGAGTCTCTTTAGTATGACTTCAGTCTGTTCGTTACTATTGGTTCATAACCACTGCAGCGCGACGTGCTTGTAACGTGAGTGCAACTGGCTAGAAAAAAACCTCCGGTGCAGGGTTTCTATACGGTTCAGAGAAAATCCGCGTGCACGGGGTGGGCATCATGTGTATTAGAGTGTAGTGTACATGGGCCCACGCTCAGTGGACTCGCGGTCAGCAATATGAAATTTTGCATGAGAAGTTGGAAGTTCCCGTGTGAAGTCGTTGCCATACTCGTTGGTTCTCCACTCCAGCCGCGCAGGGATGATAGCAACAAATCGGGATAAAGCATGTAGAGCCTTTTCCTGGATTCTGGGTCGTTCGCTTGAACGGGGGATATACGGCACATCGATATTGCATCACGTATGCTAGCCGTTGTACTAGTTGTTCAGCAGCGGTGTGAATGTACAGATATATAATAGCGTCTACTATCTACAAGAGGAATTGCTTGGCAAGAGATTGCCAATGAAAATTACTCTACAGTCCATATTTGTTACAACTTAATTGAATTCGGAAGAACTTGAGAAATAGGTTAAAAGTAGACCCCTAATAAAATACTGAAATACACGTTTCATGTGGTATCAAATTGGTTCCATCTTACTTCACTTTTCTGCACCTCTCTTGCCTCAAACGTTTCGCAAAGCAACGTAATGTGCATCTTTGTTGCATGTAGTGAGCTGTTACGAGTGCAATTGAGTGAACGAACGAGAATTGCACTATCGAAGCAAGAGTACAATGAGCGAAGGCATGAGCGAAGAATATATAGCGAAACTACAGTGGTAACGGTAATGGTCTGTGGTAGTCGCGCGACGAGCCTGGGACTGAGGTTTGGGAAAGTGTCGAAGTGTAGGCCCGGAGCGCGGGGTACCAGCCGAGCCGTGAGGTCGGGATGCGATGTGCGAAAATGGCGGGATGATTATCGGTGCGATGGTCGCGAGTGGTAACGGTGCTGACTGAGGTGCTACAGTGATGTACGCGTCGAGCAGGGATGCGAAGTAAGGAAAAGGGAATTTCCTTACACTACCCCCCCGTCCTAAGGAGGTCTTCCTTACGAAAGCGCGAGGACGTCTTTGAAGTTTCGGCTGCGCAAGTAGTCGATGACGACAGGGTGGTTTTCAACTTTGTCCAGGGGAACCCAGTTGTCCTCGGTGGGTGTACGATCTTTCCAGCGGATCAGAAACTCAACTTTTCGGGCTCCTCGAGGGTCGCGAACTCTGTGGCTCAAGATTTTGTCGGGGGTGATGACTGGTTCGGTTGGTGGACGTGTCATGCTGGATGGCCGATGTCGATGAAGTTGGCTGGTGGATGGGACGTAAGGGCGAAGCAGACTGACGTGGAACGAGGGGCTGACATACCAGTCAGCGGGAAGGAGGAGGTGCGCGGTGACAGGTGTGATCATGTGACTGATTTGTAATGGCCCACAGTATCGAGGGCGGAGTTTGGGAGTGATGGGCAGGCGGAGGTTCTGAGTGTCGAGTAAAACGAGATCATCCGGCTGATAAGTGACGGGCCTGCGGTGGCGATCGGCGTTGCGTTTAGCGATGATATTGATTTTTTTATTGCTTCTGCTGCCCTGGTCCGTGCTCCTTGTAGGATCTCGGCGAACTGTTGTGCGCGGGGAACGGGATTGTTGGGATTCGGTGTCATGGGTACTGTTGGGTCCTGTCCGTAGTTCAAGTAAAATGGCGACTGTTGGGTCGTGGCGGATGGCGCGTTGTTGTATGCAAACTCGATGAGAGGCAGCTGCTGTTCCCACGTGTTTGGATCGTCGCACGTGGCTCAAATCAACTGCTCCATGGTCTGGTTTGTCCGTTCGGTCTGTCCGTCGGTTTCGGGGTGGTAGGATGAACTGAATTGAAGTCGCGTGCCAAACTGCTGCCATAGGTTCCGCCAGAAATTACTGGTAAACTTCGTGTCCCTGTCGCTGATGATCGACGCTGGTATCCCGTGCAGTCGAACGACGGTGGTGATGAAGAGTCGGGCTGTTTCCTCGGCTGTGATTGATTTCCTGCATGCTGCGAAATGTGCCATTTTCGTTAGTCGATCGACGACGACCAGGATCGCGTCATTCCCACTCGCCCCAGCCGGTAAACCCGTGACGAAGTCCATCGTCACCTGCTGCCAAGCACGCTCTGGGGGTGGGATTGGTTGCAATTGTCCCGCCGGCCGCTTCCTGCTTGACTTCATGAGCTGGCAAGTGGGACACGATGCCACGTGTCGTTGCACGTCGGTCAACATTTCCGGCCAGTAGTAGTACCGCTGCAGCTGTTGCCGTGTTTTTTCTACTCCGAAATGTCCCGAGGTAACTCCGTCGTGTGCTTCCTGTAACAGTAGTTCCCGTAGTAGCGTGTATCTTGGTACCCAGATGCGGTCGGTTTCAGCTTTTACGTAATAGACTCCATTGGCTGTTGCGAATTGCTGTGAATTTCCTCCTATGAAGAACGGGTCTGTTTGATATCCGTGGGTAAATAGTCCTGTCAGTAATGGGCTGGTCTGGGTGAGTAGTATCGCGTGGATTTGGGCAGTGGGGCGGGTCAGTGCGTCAGCGATATTCGAGGCTCCTTTTTTATATGTGACCGTATAGTGGAAATTCGACTTGAGGAAATCGAGCCACCGAATCTGTCGTGGGTTGAGGTGGGGTTGTGCGCGAAGGTACTGTAGGGATCGACGGTCTGTCCGTACTGTCACGTCTGCGCCGGTCAAGTAGCAGCGCCACACTTTGAATGCATGCACGATCGCAAGCATTTCGCGGTCGTGTATCGGGTAATTTCGCTCAGGTGGATGGAGCTTGCGTGATTCGTAAGCGATGGGTTGGAGGCCATTGCCAAAGTCCTGTAGCAGTATAGCTCCGATGGCGATGTCGCTCGCGTCGGTAACAACTTCGAAGGGGCGGTGTGGGTCAGCGATGCGTAGGACGGGTGGTGAACAGAGAACATTTTTTAGGGCAGAGAAGGCAGCATGCTCTTTCCCCCCCCACGTAAAAGGGACCCCCTTGCGCAGTAAATCAGTGAGTGGGGCTGTTAAGCGTGCCATGTCGGGGACGAACCGACGAACGTAATTAACAAACCCTAAAAAACTCTGCAGTTCCGTGATGTTCGTCGGGGGACGCCACGCTTTTACCGTATCCAGCTTCTTAGGGTCAATCTCAACCCCAGCCTCCGAAATGACGTGACCTAAAAACTCTAGTCTGTCCCGAAAAAACTCGCACTTGGAGCACTTGGTGAGTAACCGATGTGCCTCTAAAATTTTAAAAACTGCTTCGAGATCTACTAAGTGCTGCTGCTGGTCCCGACTGTAAACGAGGATGTCGTCGAGGTAAACTATGACGCACTTATCTAAAAGTGGCCTAAACGCCTCGTTCATGGTCATCTGAAATGTTGCAGGCGCGTTGGTCAGCCCGAAAGGCATCACCGTGTATTCGAATGACCCGTACCTAGTCCTAAATGCTGTCTTGGCGCAGTCCGATGGTTCGACCCGAATTTGATGGCAACCTCCCCGTAAGTCTATTTTCGAAAATACTCGTGCGGTTCGCAGCTGGTCGATCAGTTCGTCGGCGCGGGGGATGGGGTATCGTGATTTGACTGTTACCCTGTTAAGCGCTCGGTAGTCGATGCACATTCGAAACCCTCCGTCTTTTTTCGGTGTGAACAGTATCGGT